CCTTCCCCAGACCCAGCCCGCCGCGGAGGCTCCCAACCGCTCCGCCTGCGCTCCACGACCCCCACCTGGGCCCGGGGCCCTCCTCTCCCTCCGGAAATCGAACGAACTGTCGGGAAGTCTCTGTGAGTGCATAGGCGTAAGAGTCTCAGCTAGATGTGGAGTGAGACATGTGCAGCCGGAGTGAGGAAATGTTGGTAAAGACAGACGTGTGAGAGGGGTCCAGAAGGCTCTGAGCCAGGGCTGAACGTGTGGTTGAGGAACTACAGGCAGGGCGAGTCTCTTGTACGAGTGTGTGAGTAAGAAGGTCTGGTGCGTGTAGAGGGAGGTGTGCACACGTGGATGCATTAGTGTGGTCTCCCTTTCCAGGCACTCTTCTGTCCTTGGCAGTTAAGGAATTTCTTCCAACTTGTTAGATGCCCAGGCCAGTGTGGTAGAGAGATGAGCCTGCAGGACACAGGTGAAGGAACCTGCCCAAGTGGAATGTAGCCCTTTCTCAAAATGCCATCTGCTCCTGGGCGGAAGGTATGGAAGTGTGTGTGGTGGGGGGCAGCATCCAATCCCATGGCCTTGCAGCCCAGAGCAGAGCAGTTACTTTCGGAAGAGGCCCCACAGAAGACCATGGACCAGGCCAAACCGTTCCCAAGTTCCCTTTCCGTATCTACCTGAGATAAAAATAGAAAATGATATGAAAGGGGGGAAAAACATTTTGTTTTACTACAAGTGTTAAAGAGGGGTGGGGATTCTTTGAACATTTTTTGTGTGGGGGGGCAGGAATCGCACTTGAGACCTTGAGCTTGTGAGGCAGGCGGCACCACTGAGCTAGATCCCTGGCCCAGAACTCACTTCTTGAAGAAGGGAGTCAAAGTGGTTTTTAGTGGTGGGGAGTAAAGAGAATAATGAGAGGTGCCCTTAGCCCTCTGCCTCGCCTCTCCCAGGACTTCTTCCATTCTTCAAAGCTAAGAAAGAGCTTCCAGTGAGCAAAAGATACTGAGGAAACATGCAGCAATAGTGCATACGAATTTAAGAGAAGTTCAAGGATCTTGTAATAAGAAGGCTAAGTATTGCATTTTCTAAGGGTGAAAACTGAGAAAGGTACCTTTTTCCTGCTTTTTCCCAATCTTGCCAAAACCACTTAGTGATGTCGGTGAGTGACGTGACGAGTGGTTGTGAACTCAGGGGCTTGCATTGGTGTCTACTTGCTTGCAATAGTGCATACGAATTTAAGAGAAGTTCAAGGATCT